ATATTTTGATGATATTGAATGACTCTCTGATGTGAAGAATGGATATCAGATATTCCAGGGACACGAATGGGATAACCTAGGGATGTACCGGGTGGGATGTCCACTGGACAACTACTGGCGGGACATCCCCTGGATGTCCCAATGCATTTCCTTGTACCGCGGGACATAAAAGGGACGCACCTAGGACATCCCTGTGTTGTTAGGGTATTATCGCATTTTTAGGTTCTGCCTGGAGAGCCAATTCCATAAATGCATCACACTCGAGGTCTAGCGCGAATGATTACAGAGATATATAGGGTGTTCAAAAACAAAAACTTTCAATTTTAGAATTTTTTGTGTCGAAACTATAATTATCGGTCATCAGAACAGCTCACATCATGTCCCTATTTCAACTTCTGATTCACTATATCTACTGACATTAAATAGTAAAAAAATACAGGGTGGTTCAAAACATTCAGAATTCTGATCACCCTGTATCTGATGTAATGATGATAGTAGTCTTTTTTGAGATTTTAGAATTATGTCGTATGTTGATATTTTGCTATCGCTTATTTATAAACGTTCGGTATATCTCTAGGAACTCGCACCATAACAATTTCTCGTTATTTGTGATATATACCCTCGGGATGACTTGAAGAACTCACAATTAGAATTTCTGATTCAGATTACGTTCGGGTCAACTGTACGAACTCGCAGTGAGAATATCTCGTCTACGTCACGTACGTGATAGCTTCAGAAACTCGCAATGAAAATTTCTTGTTCAGGTTACGTTATAGCTAGCTTGAGGAACTCGCAGTAAGAATTTCTGATTCAGGTAAATTTCGTAATAACTTTGGGAATTCGTTGTGAAAATGAAATCGATAACTGAAAAGGTAGGTTGAAAGATTTCTATCTTGCCTTCCCCTGTCGGGACATTCAGGACGTCCATAGGACGTTCAAATTTGGTACCGTCCCAGATAGCACACGACGTCCCGGGGACGTACATATTACGTCCGATTCGGGTCCGTACGTCCCGAAACCTAATATGGACGTCCTCAGAACGTACCATGCCGTACGTCTTCGGGACGTACAGAGCGTACGTTTTCAGGACGTCCATTTTTAGTCTTCATTTTTTCAATATTCATTATTCACTCTATATTTATTATATTCTCCAATAACAATAAAACATTGCCAGATGTGATCAAATGGAGAAGGAATAAGGGCCCTTATTAATGGCTGCCGATCAATTCGATAATAGGTCACAATGAATCACGTGATTTTTTGAGACCAATGTGGAGAAATTGAAGTAAATTTGGCAATGTTCGCATATATATTTTTATCCTGAATAGAGTGTTATTACCTCTTTATTGGATTCAGAGATTTCGTAGGATATACTTGAAGATGAAATTATGTACACATATTGTCTTACGTCCTGGTCTTTATACTGATTCATAGCGAATTCCATTGAAATGAGCTGGTGGAGTGTTTCTGCACTCAATGTTTACGTTTCCATCTTATACTCGCATATGTTGAACAGAGGTAAGTCTTATATTCAATAAGTGTCGTGTAGAGTTGTTGGTAAAGCATCTGCTCGGTAATTCAGGGGTCGCGGATCGATCCCCCAGTAGGAAGGATTTTTTTTTAATTTTTTTATTCAAAATAATATTTTTTTACTCTGTATAAATGTCTTGTTTATCTATCTGAGTAAAAAAAAGGCGAATCTACGTTGATTATGGTATTCATGGCGATGAAATACCAAACTTGGACTTAATATGGACGTCCCTGGGACGTTCCATCTTGTAACATCGGACGTCCCCAATACGTCCTGTGGACGTCTTCGACCGACACTGGACGTCTTCAGGACGTCTTGTACGTCCCAGATGTACGTCCTCTGGACGTACACAGGACGTCTTCGTGTTATCTGGGGTGGACGTCTGAGGGACGCACAAACCTAAATCCTACAGTATATTCATCATCAAAAGCACTACGGAGGAGATCCTTAGGACATCCGTAGGACAACCTAGCAGCAATGCTGGGGGGGATATCAATTGGATGTCCATAGGATGCCCCAGGAATATACGAATTATTCTTGAATTTGAAGTTTTCTAGGTCCCTCTAGGACCAGTTCTTGCATAACTGATGAGGACGTCCAGTTGAGTTGATGGTTTGTAGAGGGTCCCCAATAGATCCTGAAAATGTTTCCCAAGGATGTCCAATATGGACTCACGTGAAGGACATTGACGAAGAGTATTTAAAGCCTACGAGCAATCATTCGTCGGCTAGGTGTGAGTTAACGTCCTCGCAGGGACAACATATTGACGAGTTTTAGTAACTCACGATAATCAATAAATCACCCATCTTTATATGTCCAAATTAATAGGTGTCAAGTTTTGTCGTTTTATATAAAATTTTGTTTTTTTTATATATATATTTATCTCCTACTCTTTTATTTATACACAGACGTATTCCTTGTTACTGTACGTAAATGTTTATTGTAACGCTTTCATACGGTTTAACAAGTGAAATAAATATTATTATTATTATCATTATTATTATTATTGAAAGTACCGACTGGGACGACGTCATTTCTAGGACATTGGAAGAGTACAGCTCATGTACCACTTGGGACATCCGACGGATATCCCTAAGGGACATTCGAAGTCTGAATTATAATTCTTGACAGTTATTGTCATCCGCTGTTGACGGCGATTACGCGATCATGACTGGCGGAATAAACCAAAACTGTGCGATGTGCTTACTGTGCGCAAAGAGCTACTTACTGAGGCTGTATCTCGTGTAGTAGGTATATAAAATTATATAAAAAACCGAACTAGCTAATATGGTCGAACAAATTGAGCTTTTTGCTTTTGCTGGAACCAGCACAGGATATAGTGGGGTGACGAGGATCGTAGTGTAGTTTCATGTGAGCATGCAGGTTCCTGTAAACAACTTGTGTTCATGGATCAACCGAGAAGGTATCATCATTACCGAAAAATAGCTTATAAATATACCTCAGTTAACAAGTTTGTTCACACCACAGGTGTGTAGAAAAAAAAAATGCTGAATTTGTATTTAACCAATCAGCACCAGACATCTTAAAGACGTACATTTTACGACTTACTTACGTCTTTACGTCCAGGGACGTATAAAGTACGTCTTTAAGATGTAAATCCATGAACATCTTGAAGACGTACACAAACTTACGTCTTTAAGACGTACATTTTAGGTCGTATCCACGTCGTTCCTCCCATGTCGTATAAAAGACGTCTTAAAGACGTACATTCCAGTACGTCAATTCGACTTATAGAACAATAATGTAAGTTATTTTCTGAAGAAAAACAAAATGTCATCTCTTCACGTTTTTTATTTTCAATTGTTCAGTTTTTTCTTATTTTCAACAAAAGTGATGTTTTTGAATTTTTTCGACATTTTGGAGCCTTCGTGTTAGATTCTCGAATTTTTACAAAAAATCATATTCTCCGACTCCAAAAGTCCCATAGTAATCAATTTTGTATAAAATCGGAATATAATCACAAAACTCGTCCGCCATTTTGAAGCCGACATCTTGGATTTTTCATTTTCGACAAAAGGAGTTATAATCTCTGATCCCGAAATCCTTCAGATGCCAATTTTGAATCAGATCAGACCATAATCAGAAAACCATATGCCACATCGTCCGCCATATTGGATCCGCCATTCTGTTTTTTCCATTCAATAATAATATCGCAACGAATTGTCACCGGAATAATATTCACTTGCCAAATTTAAAATCAATCGGACGATTTAAAGTGAGTCAAATTTAACTTGCACGTTTTGATTACAAACAGACACAAGGACATGTTAAACTAAGTAAAAGCTTGTTATGTGATATATAGAGCAAACAGAGTAACAGAAGAAGTGAATATGGTATAATCATCGAAGTCAAGCAACAAAGAGCGCGGTTAGTACTTGAATGGGTGACCGCTTGTGTCTACCGTTTGATGAAGTCGTTTATTTCCCTTTTTTTTGCTTGTCTGCACTTGTTGATAACTTCAGTGCACAGGTGAAAATCAACTGAAACTATGTGATTTTTCCGTAATTTGGAAGATCAATTTGGGGTCATGGACCAAAAACACCTAAAAAAGACGTCTTAAAGACGTACATATTAGTGGAAAATGTACGTTTTAAAGACGTCTTAAAGACGTCTCTTGGGCGTAAGACGTACTTATGTCCCGACATGTACGTCTTAAAGACGCCTTTAAGACGTACTTTGGCTGATTGGGATAGAGTCAGGTCTGTTTTTGTAAGTTTGACAGGACCTACCTGGGGATTCATCCATAGTACAAATACAATTAAAAACACGTGAAACTAATATAAACAAGTTTGTTGTCAATCGTTGGAGCCGGATCCAAAATTCTTATTCTTGTATTTTCAAAAAGTTATGAGGAGCGGCTCATGTGTGAATTGAAGAAAATATGCCGAGTTTATAAAAAATTATACAAAAAATGGTTGTGCCAGAGAGCAATCGCAATTTTAACGTGGAATTTTTAAAGAGAGCTGTGAAAGCTGTCAAGAGGGGTATAAGGAAGTAAATGGTAGTATAACTATAAGGAGGGTGTCCGAACAGTTCGCAGTCCCGTTCACCACCTTGGTACGTTGATTGCTATTTTCATGAACTTGTGTTCGTTTTTTTGCAAGTAATTTATTTACAATGTTTTGAAATGAATTTTTCCCTGATCCTCTCCACCCAAAGATGCGGGGTGAAGCGGATCACACTCTGATGTAATATTTTTATAAATTATTCAGGATAGTTGAATTTTTAATTTTTTCACTAAGCTCTGAAGAATATAAGAATCATATATATTTTTGCACACTGTCAAGGAATGTACTTTGGTTGCAGCGCAGAAGTAAACTCTGATATTGATCCGTTTCACCTCAGTTGACGGTACGATCCACTAGCAAGAATGATAAATTCTCACCAGTTCTTGTTATTAGCGTTCTGGGTATGGTGTTTAGTGGTGTGATGAAAATAAAAACTTATATTGAAGATGTGTACTATAATATATTTTCTATTGAGAAACATTTTATAAAAATCAAAATTAACAAAAAAAAATTAATTTGTACTCAAATCACAAAAATATCACTACCTGTAAGTAAACTACACATTTCCTATGAGGTAAATATTTTGAAGAAGCTGTTATCAGTAATACATTATTTCCAATATATTGAAAATTCAAAACACTCCGGTGTTGGTCGAAAATTCACTCATCAGCTTTCAACCTCAGTGATGTAACATTTGAGGAAACATTGGTATACGGAAACTTGTAAAATGGGACCAACAGCAATGTATCCTTATTTATTGTACTTTGTTATCCTATTATATTCCAGTTTTCCTCATTATCGGCATTAGGTGTTCACAGACAATAATATATGAATCCTGACAATTTGTATATGGGTGTTAATTATGGTGAACTCTTCAATGAAAACAGTATAATCATATATGGCACCTCCGGTTTCGAAATGGTTAATATTTTGTATGATGCTTCATATGGATACTACAAATAATTCAGAACTGATATCCATGAGGGTTTTCAGCCCTCAGGTTGTATTTTCCTGAAAATATTTTTTTTTAGATTTTTTATCATCAGAATACGTGTACGTTCATTTTAGAAAGAAAAATGGTAATTGTGCTAGCACAGGATCCTAACTCTCTGTATACGATGTGTTCAGCTCGATCAAATCATGAAAAGGGTATTCAATATTCAATGTTATTTCTTGCAAACTTGATTCATATGAAAAGGAACATTCTCAGATATATTTATGAACACAAAAAAATGGATATATATTTAAAGAAATACATTGAGAATTCGCATTCTCCATGTGATGAAAATATCAATTCTTTCTTGGTTTATTCAACAGAAAACAACTACTTTCCTGGCTATATGCCACGACGAATATTGAATTACATCTATTGAACACACACGATAAGAATTTGAAAACAAAATCTTCTGAAGTAGAGAATTTGCATTCTCCCTCATATGATGTCAAATCTTATTTTGCTTTGATTGATTCCAGCATATTTTTATCGTCAACTATCTAGCTTATTATATTTTTTCGTCGACCTCCACAAAATATCACCTTCTACTTACTTATTTCCGAACGAAAAACCGACTATTTCCGAAGGCAAGCACTTTTAGTCTACAGACACTGACTTTTCATTTGCTGCAACGTTGCCAGTTCTACTGAATTTTCAGTACTACTCGATCTACTGAAACATTTCATAATCTACTGAAAAATATGTTGACACTTATTCATCATTATGGTGCATGATATTTCGGCACGCTCTGTTTGAATTCATTTTACGAAATAAGTAATAAATGAACATATTGGTACTAATGATATGCATAAACCAAAAAAGGACAATAGTTCATCTGATTAAGATCAAATTCAATCAATAGTTTCCGAGATATTCGAACAAAACAAAAATACAAGATTGCAGTTTCTCTCAAATAACTCAAGAATGACTGAAGCTAGCCCGGGTTTCTCAATAGATTCTGAATCAACATTAAATTTGCTACAACTTTGCCGATTTAACCGTTCCTCTATCTTTCATGGTTACTGAGATCCCAATGGTGAAGATCGAATTTGGGACACACTGTATATATATCTGTTATAATAGTTTGTTTCTTATGTTTGATTTCTTTATATGTTTTGTATTTTTGTTGTTCATTTTCACTATTCATTCCTGTTTTTCATATGCTCAAATCTTGGAAGTACCTATGTATTTTGAGATATTTGTGAGTATTTTTGAATGAAGAATTAGGAATATAATTATTTTAACATGAGATTGTTTCGTTGTTTCTATTTTGTTGAAAATAGGTTACTTTTCTGTTTACTAAAGGTACATAATGTTTTGACGTCATAGGTTTGTTTCATTATCCTTTCTTGGAATTCGTATAGCATAATATAGATCTTGACCAGATCTGCATTGAAATCTACTGAATTTTTGACAAGGTATTTACTGATGAAAAAAAAAATCGAACTGGAAACCCTGGTCCGCGCGGAGAGTGACTTGCCTACAACTGACATTTGCTGTTGTTAATAATTAATTAATAATAACCATTCACGAAATTCGATAGATGTCTCGTGTGAATAGGACCGTGATTTGAATATCAGTGGGTTTGAGGTCAACGAAAAAATTTACTATGCGCCTCGGCGAAAAACTGTCAATTGTCTCGCCTGATTGCTATCCTCGGCTATCAATTTGCAGACTCGACTATAATAGACAGTGTTTCGTCCTTGATACATAAATAACTATTGTGATAACCCTTTGTTTTTCTTCTCGGCGCCATATAGTAAACATTAAACATACCCATAGGCATTGAGGCATTGTTTCTCCTTTTATAATTCTGTACAGAGTGAGCAAAACTCGATGATTCAGCTTTATCATGATACGAGAATAAACGACAGACAAAATCTGGAAATGAGTTCCTGAATTGCATTAAGCAAATACCTACTAATAATTATTACCCAATGAATAAAACCAACTCGTGATTAGGCTTTCATTACAGACTATCATTAATATAATTCCCATATCACTGATACGAATGGTGTTTTTAGAAGTTCCAAGCTCATCAAGATCAGAGTTCATACAAGTATACTTCTCCTATACATTTCAATTTTCATTTCAATACTGAACATATTGGTAAGTTCTATTTTTATATCAAAATACATCATATTATTGTATTCGATTTGAGAGATAATGTTAATTCTCAATTTTAGAGGATTTTGATTTTTCATGCTATCTTCTTGGATTATATCCAATAGATATAATTCAATGTTCGACGTGGCAAATAGCCAGGAAAGTAGTTGTTTTCTGTTGAATATTCAGAATGATATTATATGGATATCTTTATATGAAGGAGAATGCAAATTCTCTTCTTCATGAGATTTTGTTTTTCAAATTCTTATCGTGTGTGTTCAATTATTTTTTTGTGTTCATAAATATATCTGAGAATATTCCTTTTGAAAACATTCTTTTAGTTTCCACGTCATATGTTGACCTACTTCATAACCTCAAGAGTTGAGATATAAAAATATGGACTAGAAGTTTCCTAAGATTCTCAAGTCAAAGCACTCTATATCGAGTACAGAGTATTGCGATTGGAGTCTATTATAGTGCTGAGAGAAGATTAATCAATAATAAAATAAATAAGTGCCTTTACTATATGGAAGGCTTATACGAACTGAAGTTGACTCCCAAAGAATTCGACTTCACGAAAAGTAGCAATGAATATCGAGAATTATACATAATTTTATCAATAATGACCTGAGTACGACCTACAAAAAGATCGTATTTCTGTACATATCCAAAAAATGATTATTTCTCAAGAATACGATAAAGTACATGGTCTTCACGTATATTTTGAACCCCCAAATAACTTTGTTCAATATATCTCTCAAGGAACGTTTTCATATATTTTCATGTGAATTTTATATATGCCACCGGAAAAACAGTTGAACATCTCAAAAAATATCCTTATCGACAACATTTATGAAATTTCAAATAGGACAACCTGTATTTCATTGCATTTCTAGATTCTCCCTGAAGAGCTTATTTTATCGATACATCACCACACTAGTGTGTGAAAATTGAAATTTTTTCAACTCTTGGAATTTTTCGAGTCGAAACTATTAATTATTGGCCAAAACAGTTTCCATGATTCACTATCTATTGACATTTAATTGGAAAAAATACAGGGTGGTGAAAAGTTCAGAATTCTGATGATGATTATAGATGTTGCCCATAAGTATTTTTTGAGAAATTCAACTGTTTTTCTGATATCATATATATAAAATCAACAGAAAAACATATGAAAGAACTTTTCTTGAAAAAAAAAAATTAACAATACATTAAAAAGTTAAGTGGTAAAATATACGTGTAAACCTTGTTGATTATCGAATAGTACGGAAAAATTTCGAATTTCCACTTGAGAATATATTTGTTTTCGGAAATTTGATAGATTATTATCAGCAACCCTCAAGAAGATGGCTGAGAATGAATAAGCATAGAAAAAATACACTATTCTATTTGAAATGAAAAATATCATTTCCGCGGAAGGCAGAAGCGCGTGAGGTATAGCTGCAAGAATTGTCATACATGAGATCACTATAAATAACCGCTACGTATGAATTTTCAGATTCCCAATTCAATTTTTATTCATCCCCAATAGGCCCACTGTATCGAGCTGAAATTACGGATTACCTTCAAGGAATAAATTATTTTGTAAGTAAGAAAACAATTACCTGAAAAATTAATTATCTGAAGAAGAAAGAACGTAATGTAGGTACTTTAATTTTGTGAAAAGAGCTAAACTGTTGGAAACACATTTTTGAAACTGAATATTTTGAATAATACATTCCAATTGTTCATTACAGCTCCACTCATTTCAACTACTTTGATTTAAATTTTCTCTTTTTCTTATCGATCTTTCCCAGCACATCAGCAGAACTTGCGAATCTTCGTAAATTTTTCTTCAATTTGGTCTTCGAAGGAATACCTTTCACAAAGTTATGTACTCGCACTACTTGTTTACTAGTACTCGGCTCAGAGATATGTTTATTTAAAACATATGGAGGTGCGGAAGATACCCTCGATTTGTGAGTGAATAAATGAGGTTTATTAGAGGATTTATCCCAGGACACAACTAAACTATCATCAAAATCTTTGTTGTCATATTTAGCTATGACCGCTTTTCCCTCGTTGTTTTTGATAAAGCATATCTCCCGCAGATGTAAACTATCGGAATCCACCGGTTTCTTGACTTTGGTTGCTGGTATCTGAATATCGACTTTTTCTTTATTCGATGTCCCTTGGATGCAATTTTTTTTGTTGGCTTTATTGATCAACTTGAATTTCTCCGTTGAAGCGTTTTTTGCCTTCAAATTAAGGTCTTTTCGTAATTTGACTTTGAAACATTTATTCAGGCGCATTCCAGATTTGGAACAGCTAGGCTGGGCCAGATTCTCTTTTCGATTTAATACAGTATTTCTGGTTTTCGATTTCTTCAAGATCTGCTGTTGGGGAGCTGCAGGGCAGTTCTTATTCCGTCGTGTTGTTTCACCCTGAAGCAATAAAACTGTTACTACATAATTTAAAGCAATCCAAGTAATTAGAGAGTTTGGGAAACTCAATTCAGCAATATAATTGAACTACTTTATTGCTTTTTGTTAATTTCAGAACGTAGTAAGTGCAATCTGAAAGAGAACACTGAAAGAAATCGACCAAATCAAATGCTTTGCTGAAACCATATGTATTGGATTCAATGGATTTCATGCTATTACAGAGAAATAATCATTTAGTCCGAAACTATGAACGAACAAGTACAGATACAATTATTTTGCTGAGTCTTTTTTCCTGAACTAGCATGATATTAATTTGTCTTGAAAAATTATTTGAATAAGATTTTTCCATTTGGTACGAATAGGCCTTCATCTACCATAAACAGGTTGACTTTGCTGAAACGCACATAATTGAACTCAATATCTGGAATAGGTGGATTATTATTTTCTTCCCTATTAACGTTCCTGGAGTAAATATAAACCTACCTACTCCTAATTGATGACCTATTTGTTTTTGTTGAGGAGCGCATGCGCAAAGATTATGCGCTATAAAAATAACCACCTGCATACAAATTCCTGTCGAGACATTCATTACCTTAGACAACGACAAACGAGATGCACGCTGCACCTTATGAGTTATAATTTGAGTACTCATTATAGCGGTCTAGATCGACGTTTGTTGTTTCGGTTTCGTAACTTCGCCTAGGGCTGTCGGTTTTTTGGGTAAAGTGTATCTTTTTGTGACTATACCGGGTATTTTCCGAAAGTGGCTCACCCCTATAACTTTTTTGTTCATACAGATAAACAATTGAAATTTGGTGTGTGAGTATAGTACATAAATATGCATTATTTGACGTTCCAAATGATTACTGATGAGGATTTTGAAATCCGAAATGGTTTCATTGCAATAAAGTCATATAACCTGTGTGTGAGAGATAATATTTCCCATATCACTGATATGAATGATTATTTTTGGAAGTTTTCAAGCTCATCAAGATCAAAGTTTATGCCAGTATACTTCTCCTATACATTCCAATTTTCATTTCAATGCTGAATATATTGGTAAGTTATATTTCTATATCATTATTTCTCAAGTTCGGAGGATTTCATTTTTCATTTTTCATGTTCTCCTTTTGGATGTTCATCAGATATAATTCAATGTTCGACGTGGCAAATAGCCAGGAAAGTAGTTGTTTTCTGTTGAATATTCAGAATGATGTGTGCATATACATATTTTTGTCTGAAGGAGAATGCAAATTCTCAATTTCATAAGATTTTATATTTTATTTTCAAACTCTTATCGTGTGTGTTCTGTAGATATAATTCAATGTTCGTCGTGGCATATAGCCAGGAAAGTAGTTGTTTTCTATTGAATAAACTGAAAGAGAGTTGATATTCTCATCACATAGAGGATGCGAATTCTCAATGTATTGCTTTATATGAATATATATCCATTTTTGTATGTTCATAATTCATCTGGGAATATTCCTTTTCAACGCTTTTATACCCAATCAGGGGGTTCAAACTTGAACGATGGAAACTTGTGATTTTTATAGACCTCTAATCGCAGATTCGTCTCAATTCAGAATTTCTTTCCACGTCCTGTATGATGAATGTCAATTTATCATACACCCAGAAGCAATATCCAGTATCATAATCATTCTGAATTCAAAAATGGAAATTTCAGGATGTCAAATATCAACAAGTGCGGCAAAAGGCGTGTAGTTGTACTCACAATGTTATTCTCTATCGAAATAAGTAAAAATATACCAGGCGTCATTTTCGGTCAAACGAAAAGTGACAGAAAATACTTCGAATAATGCATATTTATAAACTATACCCACACACCGAATTTCATTTTTTTTATTTATAGATATAAAAAAGTTGAAGGGGAGAGCCACTTTTGAGAAACACCCGGTATACATACAGTATTTCAATACACACAACCCTCCTAGTGCTGTACGACAATCAATTCATGACAATTAGAAAATCTACCTAGAATAATATCCAAAGAACCTCACAGAAGCTATTTGGGGATCTATCAGAGGTAGGGAAATATCAACTAGTTACAATAATACAGAACTACACAGTAATTATTCGATGATCTATCAGGAGTAACAAAATGAACTTCCTGTGTTAGCAAGAATTCAGTAGAAAACCATGTAATATAAATCAGTCAACCGATTTGATACAGATAAGTTAGCATAATATGGATAAATAGACGACCTATTATACCGACAGCACAATTATTGCGTTATTGTCCTAGGCAAGTACTAAACAATGCAATTATCTATTCACATCAAATAGAGATGTTTCAGCAAGATGATTCCATTTATTTCAGCAAATGAATTGCTTTGGCTCCTATTTAATGCAGATATTTTGCTGTGATAATGCAACTTTTTTTAACTACTGATAGAAAATTCTCTCAGTGAAGGCAGTATTTCCCATCGAACTAATTTGATGAATGAGAAGCAGTAGGAATAGTTATTGTATAACAAGGGAAAAAAGTAGTAGATTTCAGCTCAAGGTTGTGTTTGGCTCCCAACCGAAAAACCGTTGAAATTGCAAAGCCACAGAAAAATATCTTCATTGAATAGGCGCCAAATATATTCATTTGCTGAACTAAATGGATTGATTTTGCTAAAAGAACTCCATTAGATCCAAATGCAATGCATTGTTCAAAACCTGCCTGGTACAAATAGAAATTGGTATTAGGTCGTACTGATTCATATCAAATAGGTTGACCGATTTACAATACTCGGGTACTCTGTTACTTCTAATAGATCGTCGGATAGATTCTGGAAATGTATTAGTTTATTGTCATAAATAGAATTTTTAACAGCTTCACTAGGGTCGTGTGTATCGTGTGTCGGTCTGTACTTGTGGAAAACCTTTGTTCGAATCAGCTGACGTTTTACCTACTTATTGAAGAATCCATATTTGTTGTTTTGCAGAAAATAGCGTTCCTCGCCGGTTCTCGTAGATAAATCATAATCTGAGCATTTTCTAGAATAAACAACCTACACTGCCTGATGTGGCGGAGTCCTGGCCAAGTGAGCTATTGCTTTTGTCTGCGTGTACTTCGATTCTTGGATTATCACAGTATTTAAGAATATTTACATCAACTGAGTAGAATAATAATGTTTTTCAAACGTGCTGCTTGTTATTCGTTAGCGGAGGAAATAAAAACAAGATTCTCTCATATACCACCAGATAGACGATGAGAGTACCCTGGAGCAAACACGATCGGCTCCACTCGCACCATCACCATCTCCAGAACTGGATCCTTCAGGGTACCAGCTCCCCGCCAAACGACGATGAAGCGACGATCAGATTATCCTCGTCTAATAATCTATAACCCCAGACTTCTGGTGAAACCTAGGATTTTCTTGACGGTTAAGTTTTCCACCTCAGCAAGCGACCTTATCGAGGTGTATCAGCCATTGGCGGGCTAGTGCATAACATACATTGTTCTTGCTTATGGATGAAGAACTAGAAAGTGAGGAGCTAGAGCAAGTTGAAAATCGACCAAAGCTGCGTAGATAATCCATAATCTACGTATTACTCAGGAAAACACATCATACACAAATTGAGAGAGCATCGAATTTCTTATAGAGCTCATGTGGAGTTCGTCAATATACGAGAAGGTGAACTTATGTAGAGCGCTCAGACGTGGAGACGTATGCTGGTAGTAGTTGCCACACTTAAGTTAATCCTTTTCACCTATTCAATTTGTCTAATATTCCTTTATCTATATTTTGAGGAGCTTTGAAACGTATAAATAGATCATAGTTATGTTTTCGTATTCTTTTTAGTAAGGGGGAAATGAAAAATTGATTATTCTGAATGCTGGAATTATAGTTGGTATATAATTACGTTGAAATAATTCTGATTGATATAAGTATTCTTCATAAATCATGATGAAAAACGGATGATAACTATTCGAACAATCAAATTATCCATTTTATGATGACAAAGTATTGAAATCAATCTTCGCTTATGTGCATGGAAACCAGGGTATGAGGCAGCTGGTCGCCTAGCAAAAGAACAGATGCATATTTTCTATTCTTCGGTCCTGAGACTTTCTCTAGAAAAAGCAAATGAACTCTGAAGGGAAGAGAGCGAGAGAGCATCGGTGAGCAAATCCAGGTCAACCTGAACAAAAAAGGCCATCAACAATGACTGATGCTCAGCAAACGTGAGCTAAACCACGGCCCTCAGAGGTATTACTAAAAAAATTGCCAAGACTAAATCTTGCCGCATTTGTCACAACGTGACCAAAACTGCGGAACACATACTTCGCTTATGCATGTTATGTTGAGGCAGGGGTGTGCGCGACGGTTTTTAATGGCTTTAAGTTCTTCAAACGAGAGTCACATATCAGACAAACATCTACTCTGTAGTTGAGTATTACGGCTGAGTAAGGCGGCTCGGTGGTCGAGAGCGTGAAGGCGCTGAGTTCGTATTAGGACTCCCACCGAGACATAGGTTCGAATCCTAGTTAGGCCATGGATGTTTGTGTTTGTATGCATACCTAACCCCGCACAAGTTTCGACTTATGGAGCGTTTGGTCCCAGTGCTGGGACCAACGAGGTAATGCAATTGCAAAAAAAAAATTACGATTATGGAATTCGGAATTGTATTTAAACACCCTTGTCGACAAAAAAATAAATGATGTAAAACATTGTCGCGTCTTGTCTAGTGGCATTTCAATGAAACTTCACGAGGAGTTTGAAGCAAAGGTTCGAGATTTTGAATATATTCAACTATTTTCAACGTAGACGCAGAGAAAGTCCTAGCTGAATTTCAGCTGGAAATAATTTAGTTAAGGTAGTCGTACATTTGTGAATTTTTCAACCATGAATATGCGAAAAAACAGCCCTCATAGCAGGATAACTGACTAACTCCTATTCTCACTGTTCAAATAAGTATCATAATATATATCTTTTCAGCTCCAGCGCCCTCATCAAAGAAATCCTAGGTTCCATCAGAAGTCTAAGGTT